ACGCGGGCATCAACGAAGGCAAAGTCTGTTTACACTGCAGTCGGGCGAGCGCGAAGATTGTTAAACTGTAGCCTAACACGTTTCAGAATGGGGTACATCATCAGCGGATCGAATCCCTGTCGTACATAGGACTGCAGTAGCTGATCGAGATCGGCCTCACGCTGTTCCAACGGCCAAGAAGCACGTGCAATCAGGTGAGCTCTGGATCGAAAGCTGCTTAACAGTGTCCGTGTGTTGGCGGCAGAGTTGGGGTGTAAGAACTTCCAGGTCTCAACAGGCTGGACATACTGTACTCGTAGTTCCTGTACATCCACATGAAAACCCAGGAAAAGGTCTCCATCCTCATACTCAAGTACGATGGGCGGTATGTATACATCCTGGTGCAGAAAAGCTTGCACAGCAGCATAGTTGGCATGGCGATCAAGAATCAAACTCATCCGGTTGTCAACATATCGAACCACAAGGCCGAAGGTTGGCAAGCGAGAAGACTCTAACAGACATTTTCCAAAGTACATGTGCTCGTATAGGCTTACCACCGCATGGCAGGCTGCCGGGGAAAAGTGGCTTCCCATCGGTGCACCTCGGATTTGTTGAATGGCCTGCTGACCCACCATGAATAGATTGAACTTGAAGGACACCTGTACAGCCTCCAGAAATAGGTCCATTGGGACGGCAACTCGTTTGTCATTCAACAGGCAATGCCGACCACGGATAGTTTTCATAACTGACATGTTGTTTTCCAAGTCCACAGTCACCACAACGCCTTTTAAGGCATGATCAAGATCCGCATCCGAGACGTCGTAAAAACGACAAAGCAATATGCGAAAGGTAATCATGAACCGCTCCCGTGGAATGCTCACGAAAAAACCTGACAAGTCTTGATTATGCATGGCAAGCTTTTGTCTGTCTTGATCCGAGCTGTGACATCGCTTCTCAAAGAAAGCGTGTATGTTCTGCCAAAGCAAGATTGCATCGTTGTAAGATCGAGTGTGAGGACACACCTCAGCGACAAGCATCTCTGTGACTCGCGCCATCACAACCAAGAACTGGCGAGCCGGGTGAGAGGCAAAACTAACGATTGGCCTGCCTCCTTTCCATTCTTTTTTGAACTTGGGGAGAATGTAAGCCCATGACACACGGGCAGCACGAGATCCAAAACGGAAGGGAAAAGATTCAAGAATGCGAGGTGGCACTGCATGTTCCATCTGGACCATAATTGTCGAGGGATTTAACGACAATGGCTTGAAGACCGATTCAGCAGTAAAAGTGTTCTGGAGCATCATCCAATACTTCACAGGGCAGAAAACATGCGCATGCGAGCCTTCATGATCACGGACATGCCACACCAAGCCATTGGTCCTTTTTCGCAACTCACGAACCTGATCCACTGACCAATGTGTTCCAACGTGTTGTGAGTGCATCTTCCAAGCCTTCTGCCACACACTTCGAATATCAACAGTCGGATAATGCATCAAGCCATGGTGATCAATCCAATGCCTCACGTCTTCAAGAAACATCGTCCAATGATCCGTGGCGTTCATGAATACCGGATTGGAGCAACTGGACTGGGCCAACTGAGTCAAATCAGGTGGCAGGGTCAACAACGTGGCAGAAGAAGCAATGTGACCCTGGACAACAGTCAGGTGTGGATGACGTCGAAGAAGTTCATGGCAGCAACATGTGACACCAGCCTGTTGCGGCTCCTCGTGCGGGTCCCACGACTGCAGGATGGGTTTATGCGAAAACAACACATCCTTGATTTTACGGTGACTTTTGGCAACGAGCGATGTCGCTGGAATGTGGTACGGCAGCAGTCGATCCGTCGATACATCCAAAATATCTCTCAACATGCCGCGAACCAAGCGTTTGAAGCCTACTTCAGGCAGCAAGAACGGAGTGGAAAGGGGGCGGCATGTAGTCGGGCACCTCAACTGTCGAAATTGCAGTACAGTGTTCAATCTGGACCTGCAGATCGTCTCATAGAACGGGTCACCCAGATGAGTGGCCATCCTGAATAATCTATAGAGAAAATCCGAGTCAACTCGGTTGCTGCGCAGATATTTTTGGGCAAGAAAGGACTTCAACCCGTCAGAAGCTAAGTCAAACAGAATCTGATAACTGTATACAATGTTCTGAACAATGTGTGTCGACCGGAAGACCGAAGGAGTCAATCCAGTGAGCTGGAAATTCCGACGTCGAAAGCGTCGAAAGGTTCTCCACGAGGTCACAAATCTCCGAACACATCTGACTGGATCCGAGTTGGCAATCTGTGCATGTTTTGCTCTGACAAGAGAGCGAACCCAAGGAGCATTTAGGTGAGGCTGTAGCAAGTTGATAAATGTCTGCTCAATCGTGTGCAAACAATCGACCTGTGGGACATGCATGATCAACAGAGGAATGGCCATGTGATAATTCTGTCGTCGATAATGCCAAAACAACGAAAGTTCACCGCACACTGACTTGCCAGCCCTGATCTGTTGGAATTTCCCCCATCGTGTACGCTCACGGTCGCCCAGTGTTTGGGATGATGATCCGACATACATGAATTTCTGTAACTCAGGCTGGAGAAAGATGCGACAATAAATCACCGACTGCGTCTGAAAGAATTTCCAGGTGTAGCTGGAGCATTTTAAACGTAGCTGAGAGGTCAATGGCGACTGTACAAGCCCGAACTCACAAGCAAGCAAAAGGAGTTTTCCACGGATCCAAATAACAATGTCCATGCATTGTCGTCCGAACATGGTAGGGGTCTCGTAGAGACCTTGGAAAAATAGATGAGCATTCCGAAGCAAATCCACTTCACTTCGGTGCCGTTTCCACCAACCTTGTGGCGGATGGTCAATGCGATACACGTCCCTGGCATCCAATATGGCCTGTAGTCAAGCCACAAGAATTGTTCCGGCAGCAAGAATACGGAGCAGAGAATTCGCCTTAAGCTTGGGAATATCACGGATGGGTACGCCCCAATTGGCAACAACCTGATCCAATTCGGCCTGCTCATTGGAAGGAAGGTCCGCATGCCATCGTTGGACATGAGCTGTCCATGTCTGGAGCTTCTGTCGATTGTTCTTGCTCAAGTTCAATCCTTCAATCCACGTCGATACTTCTTTGTCCGACTTGCAAGCCTTCCAACTGCGACTCAAGAAGTGACGTTTGCTGGGATCCGTGAGAACAATCTTCACAACCTGTCCAACATGCGAGGATGTTCCATACTCAGGCTGAGGAGCAGAACTCGAATTGCCTGGGTTGCGACCCTGGGTCTCAGCTTCATCGGGCTCGACACTCAAAGGTTCAGCGTGATTCCCGGATGGTTTGCCTTTCTGGAATGCCTGCATGAGACTGGTTTTAGGCTCAGCCGTCTGACCACGAAGAAGGCGAGTGGCACCATCCGGAACTTTCTGAGCTGAGGGCGCAGACTCCGGCACACGTCCTTGGGGGCTTTCTTCAATCGGCAACGTTTTCGGACCTGCAACCTCTTGATTAGAAGATCGGGAGGGGGAAGCATTCTCGAAATTCGCAAGTTGTTGTTGAAGAATCTGAATCTGATTGGCCATAGCTGCCTTCTCTGTGTCAACAGAGGCCTGAGGATACAGACCTAGCATGTAGTCAACAACCTTCTGTGCCAACAAGTGTGTGGCCTGCGACTTTGAGTCCGAACCGCTGCTCTTGGAAGCGGGGTCACTGATACCAAGCACAATAGAAGCAAGCTCATCCAAGTCGACGTCTTCATCTCGCAACTTTCCAAACAAGGCATGGCAAAATACAACTTCACCGATCGATTTGAAGCCTGCAAAGAAAGTCGGCTTTCCTTCGGCAATATGGCGCACCCAATACGAATTCCAACCTTGATAGAGCAACGAGTGAAGCGGTATCATATGGGTCGGACATCCATCAATCTGCTTTCGAACTGTCCAGTCAGTCTTCTTTACCCAACGGGCCAAGTTCAAGCCTGCAATACAACGGGAATCCAAATAGTTTGGGTTCTGGCAAAACTCAGCGGGCATCATCGGGCCGAAGACTCTCGGGGAGTTTGCAGCAGGAGGGGAAGGGAGGCCTGGAATGCGGGGGGTTGGCGAAATGTTCATAATCTGAGCAATGCGTGGATTGGGTTGCCACGTAAGATTCTGTGGCTGAAGCACTGCCGGTCTGTTCACTGGTGGGGCAGGTCGGGGAGCAGGGTGCTGCCAACTCTCAGGGGTAGGTGGGACCGAAGCCGGCAAGGAGGAGCTCCAGAAAGGGTTGCGGCGGGGGGAACGTTCACGATCCATGGCAGAAAATGAGAACAACAACTGACTGCAAAGCTCAAGCCGGAATGATCTCAAGAAGCGACTCCAGAATGCAACTCCGATCTGATTTCCAGAGATGTGATTTCCACTCAGTGATCTCCACTTGAACATGTTGTGAAACGGAATTGATTTCCGGAGCTGCTAACACAAGAACCCCGGTGGGCCGGCAACTTCGCCGAATAGCGACAAGGCCCTCGTGAGGGAGCTCTTGCCGAACACAACTGGAAAGGCTCCTACTGACCCGGCCTTCTGGATGTTCTGATCGTCCAATGCAGATACTTTCATGGACATGTTCAAACAAATTGCAGCAACCGTACAAAGCTTCAAAGCAAATAAAGGCATGGTCAAGTTTTCAGCGAGAGTCAAACTGCATGAAAACAACATGTTTTGAAAACACATGTTGTGGCCACCAGCTGGAGTACTTCTCCCCAAGTGCGCCACTGCAGGTACGTTTTCACTGCATTCACAGAAGCGTCTTCGTTGGCTGGAGACTTCTGTGATGCACTCCAGCCCCCTGCAAACTTAAAAGCGAAACGAGCATGAAAACAAGAAAATTCATGGGTCAAAGCAAGTACCTACAAAGAATTTCAACCAGAAACGCCGAGGAAAAGTGGACAGGTGAATGCAGGTTTTTCGCATGTACAGCAGAATAACACAAACATCTAAAGCTCAAAGCTCGGAAAGGAGATGAAAGGAGAAGACTGGGCCCTCGACTCGGCATGCTCCTGCCGAGCTAAGTGAATTTGGGAACGGTGAACCCACAAGCACGCAGCATGTGCGGAGTAGATTCCAAGGCCCACACTCCCTGAAGAAGCTTGCCACCATTCTCTCGGAGAAAGTTCGCTACCTTCTCCAAGTCCTCGCCAATGAGTACCACTAGTCACTAGCCTGGCGGCCGGAAGTCTCTCCAAAATAGTGTTGCGCTACACACAACTCCAGAATAAACACCTGGCCCACCAAGCACTCGTAGCCTGAACAGCCTTGCCACAGATGGTTGCGCTTCCGCCAAGTCCTCCTCAGAGCCCAAAGCGATGTAGCTTTCAAGCAAATCCTGAACAGCAACGCAATGTTCCCCAGAATGTTCGGAGAGGCATGAACAACATCGGCCTCGTTCTCTTCGATGAACTCACAGTATCCTTGCTGATAGCAACAAGGGCTGCTTCAAGGGAGTTGGAACGAGCTCGACCCTGCGGAATGCTTGAATCTACTTCTACACAGCCCTCGTCTGTGGCCCCGTCCCTACGCTCTGACCCCGACTCGGCCAACCCAATGTTAGAACTTGAATCCCACGGATGCCATTTGAAGCTTGCCGCCTTCAGCGACCGCTTCGCCTTCCAGCCGGGGCTCCGGCCTCAGCTGTTGCAATATGCGAAGGCACCCTTGTGATAATTCAATCTTGCAATCTGAGGCATGGCACCCGGGCGTTTCTCTGCTTTCTGAGACTAATGTCTTCTGGTCGGCCTGCACACACTTACAGCACAGGTTGACATGAAAGGAACTGTGGCAGGCACGGCCCCCCGACACCCCACATACCTCCGCCAACCATGCCAACATGTTTGCGCGCATTCATTCACTCACTCACTCATTCAATCACTCGGAATCATATTATGACTCGTACCTCACACCACGGGACAGCAACGGAACTACGCATCCATGAACATGCCCGAGTAAGCCCGGTGCAGTCTTGCACATGTTGTCAGCATTCCATTTCCTGCAGCGTCTGCGAGCGGCACTTAGCCGAGTGATATCATGCCATTGGTGTTTCTTCCTTCCTTTGTGACCATCAAAACATGCACGGCGCGACTTGTTCTTTTCCATCAAAGCCAGCTGCTCCTGCACCTGATTGCATGAGCATTTGTGACTGGTGCGTGGACCGGTCGACCTACAGGTGACTTGACACGGGCCGTCGCTGGAACTGCCTTGCAAATCTGTTTAGTGCCAACTTCGGAAGCACCTTGTCTATCTCTGCCTTGACCTTCTTCGCTTTCAGGTGCTCCTTTCCAGCTTCTCCAAAGGCGTTGTATTCCTCGCCACAACAAACAATCCTGCTCACGGACGAACAAGCCGCTAATGCTTTTTGTAGGCAGCGCGCCTTCTCCAATTTCTGCAGCTCTTGCTGCAGCCTTCAGGAGAAAACAAACTCGCGTGCATTGGCTTTGAGGAGCCCTTCTCACGACCCGGACACGCTTCACAGAGTCCACAGCTTGTTCCTACACGCACACGTGCGTTGAATAAAAGCTCGACGCTAACGACGTGCTAGCCAAAATTTACTAGGAAGGTACAGTGCCCGTTTTTGGTCGAAGCTCAAGCTGCGTCCGTCCGGTCGTAGGTCGAATCAAGCGGAATCAATCGGATAAAGGGTGGCGAGGGCGGAAACTCGACAACACGGTCGAGACGAATGCTTCCTCCCGGGTCGTTGAAACCTCAAGACCGCCGAGGAACCCCACACCCGGCATGGGCGCGGGTGGCGGCTCCCAAGTCGGCGAAGTCGGCGGCCATGTCGGCAACAAGAGGCGAAGGGGGAGCAGAGGACTCGAAAATGCGGTCAAGCCGAACCTTCGGCAGTCGACCTCTAGACTCTAGAGCTTGGTCCTACGCGCACACGTGCGTTAAACCAACAGGACAGACAATCAAACTCCGACGGCCCTCTCTGGGCCTCAAGTGTTTCTTTTCCTCGTCCTCGTCCTTTTCCACACGGTTCTGGTGCTTGTACCGAAACCTCATGGGCAAAAAGCAATCAAACCTTCGCCTCCTGCACATGGTACACCATGCTGCTGACTCGAACATTTCAAGAAATCCCTCGAGTGCAAAGCAAGGCTTTGCCGGCGCTATGCACCGGATGCACCGTATCGATTGGGAGCCAGCCAAAACAATCAGATAAAAACGAATCACCCCGGTACCCTAAAACTTCATGGAACTTCTTCTTAAACCCTACACAAAAAGCAGCGGCGGTTGCGTGGAAGTGGTAGCAGTCGTGGTCGTGGTGCGGGTGCTGGTAGTGGTACTGACATAGCCGTAGTGGTGTGGTAGAGGTCGTGGTTGCGGGTCGTGGTCGTGGTGCTGGTGCTGATGCTCCTCGTGGTGCGGTGGTGGTGGTGGTGGTGGTGGTGGTGGTGGTGGTGGTGGTGGTGGTGGTGGTGGTGGTGGTGGTGGTGGTGGTGGTGGTGGTGGTGGTGGTGGCGGTGGTGGCAGTAGCAGCAGCAGTTGTAGTCGGAGTAGCAGTCGGAGTAGCAGTCGGAGTAGCAGTCGGAGTAGTAGTCGGAGTTGTCGTCGTAGTAGTCGTAGTAGTAGTAGTAGTAGCAGCAGCAGCAGCAGTATTAGTGGTAGTAGTAGTAGTAGTAGCAGCAGCAGCAGCGGAAGCAGCAGCAGCAGCAGCAGCAGCAGCAGCAGCCCACATCCAAACCTAGCTGTAGGGGATTGAGCCCCACCAGTACATAGCTTCGAGTCGCAAGCAGAAGTGGTCCCACACCCGGTTACAGGCAGCATGATTAACTCGTAACAGTGAAGGTGCCATTTTCGGCGGGTAAACTTTGAGGCGTTCTTCGAACAGTATGAGCGTGCAGATGCTAAAGCTGTGAGAAGCTGTGCGCAGGACCACGAGGCTTTGTCGATGTTGGGGTGGACCTCAGGACTTCTCCTAACATGAACAACACTGGCTGCTTTGGCGACCTGCGACTGAATCATTGCGTAGCAACAGATGCACAGCCACTCCCCCAAAGCATGCAACCAAGACCGCTGCATCGTCCTCATCATCCGATAGTTCGATCTTGTCCCACCTTCGAGCCAAGGAGCGGATACCGCTACCATGCTGCTCCACACGACGGCTGGTCCTCCGTGCTGGTGCGTAGAATCACCGGAAAGGCCAGATGATAAGGCCACGATGACGTCACAACTCAACTTCCGGATCCACTCCCGTAGAAACTTGCCGCAAGGCACTTCGAGTAGTCGAAGCCAGCAGGCATGACCTCGCCTTCGCCGCGGCGGGAGATACCAACAAAGATTACAGCAAAAACTGCTCGTAAGCAAGATGATTAGGAATACTGCAAAGATGACGTCGACGGCTTGTAGCGAGCCTCGGAGATAGTGTGCGCTTGATGTACAGGAATTGCCGGTAGTTGCTGCTCGACATACATTGATTATTAATTCACATAGCAGACTTCGCATCACTTCGCATCCACATGCTCCGGTGGTTGTGGTGTGCTGTGCTTGCGGCGGCGGCGGCGACGACGGCGGCGATGGTGGTGGTGAGCGACGACGGGCTTAGCAGCATACCGGGATGCCGAAATTTGCACCTTTCGTCAATTACGGCGGTGTGCATCTGAGCTGAAACAGCTCAGCCGTCATCCTTGCAAGTGCGAGAATACATCGCACAAGTTAGCTACTGACGAGCAAAGACCGAGGGCTCCATGTTCAATGCACTAAATGGAAGAGTGTATACACCCAGCACGGGCCTCAAAGCACGACACTCCTATCTCCGCTTTGCAGCTTGCAAGCTTGAGCCGCACCCGCTTGCACAATGACAAGGCCAGCGAGTGAAGGCACGGCTCAAGCTGGTCAGTGGTTTGCAGCACAACTCTGTTTCTTCTCAAACTCTCAACATGCAAAGACTTCCGCGTGCACATCTTGTGCCCAGGATTGAAACGACGCCAAAGCCTTTGCTTAGAAGGCGCGCAAGACGAACTACGTTCCTGTCCCCAACCCACATGCAAGCCCAGGACTAACTTGCACAGTAAGCTCTTCCAAAGCGGTGCCCTGACTTTCACAGTTCTACAGTTTCTGCGCTGCGTCGCAAGACGCCTCAGTGTCCATGGTAGAGGTCCGTGGCACGTTGGGCACATCCTCAGCAAAGTGCAGGAGTGTTGTGTTGCAGACAAGCAGTCATCTGATGGGCCATTGCTCGGAACTAGTGGGAACTGGCGCGCACAAGCCAGGTCGGAAGAAGGCTTTCCTGATTTCGCTGTCCTGCATCCTTTCCCGGAAGAGACGAGATAGCCTAGATATACCTAGGCGACGTCTAGTCTCGATCGGCGCGGCTAGACGGTCAGACAAAATCATGATCACACCGACACCGTCACAGCTCGGAATTCGATACTCACCTGCCGACGGCCGACACTCGCTGTGAATCAAGCATGAGGTGCTGGCCAAGCGGAGCCTGGTTTCGGCCTGCCTTTTTCCTTGGCAAGCAGGCATACTAGGGCAAGCAGCTTCCTGTGCACTCAAAATGGGACTTATGAAACAACAAGGGGCGCTGACTGCTTCTAATCAGCAAGTTGACCAGTGAGCTGAGAAGAAACCAACCCGGTTGCATCCCCCGCCGCCGAGGCTCATGAGAGGCAGCGCGCAACCTTGGGCCCACACTGCCTGCCAATCGCTGCACCGCCGCCATGCCGCTGTTACGCCGCAACGGCCAAGGAAAGCCTGATAACAGCTTCAGCCTTCTCGTCTTCGTAGTCGTTCTCCCGGAGTGCACGAACATTCCTGGCTTGAGTTGAGGGCCACTCCTGCAGCAGCGACGCACCTCACCATGCACCTAGTTTTCCGTGGGTGGCAATGACAGCGAGTCCTCCGAACCGCCAGTTCCAGCGGACACATGCTTCTCTGCAGCCCGCACTGCCGAACCTGGCAGTCAAGCGAGCCGCAGTTCGAGTGACTGCAACGTCACCAAGGGCTCAGCCTCCGGGATGCGCCAATCCTCCACTGCAACCTGAACCTCCACCCATGGACCCAACTCCTGCGCATGGCAGCCCAGCGCATGACAGACACATGAAGACTCTGTGCAGTCCTGCTCCCGGAGCCAGGCAGAGGCCCACCCCTCCACTGCAGCCGCTGGCAGAGCCACCTGGGTTCAGGCACTCCGGTTTGCAGCATGGCACCACGAATTGCCAGTTCTTCCCTTCCAGCGCCTCCAAGAAGGCTTGAAGTGCCATGCCCAAACGCGGCGTGGCTGTGGCCTCGGGGCGGTCCACAGCGGGAAGCGAAGGTCTTGTTACAAAAAATGCCTGACAGCTCAGAAAGCCACCCGTTGAATACACACCGCTCGGCCCGTGCTGAGGGGCCACAGCTCTGCTGCCCTGCACGAACAAGATAGATGCAGTCTTGAAGTTGCAAATTTGCCACCCTTGCCGGGCGTCTTCTTGGAGTAAGGTTGTACGAAGTGCAATTGCAGGTTCCACTATTGCTTCCGGTACATTTCCAGGCCGGGTCCCTCCCTGGACATAGGCAGTAACCGCTTCCTTGGAAGTGGCGCTCATGCTGCCAGCGCCGAAGAAGGGGCCGGAGCCTTTGGAGCAAAACCGGCAAACGAAAAACCAAAGGAAAAAGCAGAGAAGCACTGTAGCGGAAGAGAACCAAAAAGCGGTACTGCACGCCGAACACTCCTGGATACTCCTGGCAACACCTTTGCCAAAGCACATGGTCTAAGCTCGGGTCGTTCTCGCTCTGCAGCACTTGGTGTCCCACGAGTATCGGGGCCTCTTAAGGCAGTCAACACAGATGCTCTGGCAAGAACTGATGCCTGTAAATTGATAACTTCTCCAGCCTACAACACGGCCCCGCGGCCCCACGACCCCCTTGCGCCTGGCTGCCGATCCATCCAGTCCTTCACATGCCAGACTCGTTCGGATGCCGGACAAATCTTCGTGTTTGGAGGCCAAATCCGCCACTGCAGTCCTCTTGTGCCTGGCGTCGATTTTGCCGCGAGCGACGGCCATCCACCAGACCTGGCACCGGCAACAAACTCAAAGCTTTCCTGGTCTCGGAAGGTTCCATCAGGTTGGTTCAGGGTTGAGAGAGGTTCAGATTTCATGGGTTGGAGGTGAATCCACTGTGACCATGTCTACTTCGACAGGTCGGGGCGGCTCTTGTCCTCCCCGACATCGCTTGTGTACTGGGGCGGTGGCGGCCTTCAACATGTTCATGCACAGGGTTCAATGGACTTGGCGACCCGTGGATCCACACAGGAAGCTTGCGGTCGAGGCCGTCGCCCGTAGTCGCTGGTAGGCGCTTCTTCGGGATGTGCCATTGCCTCCTTGTAGGTCGAAATCTGCAGACGGTTGGGAAAGAGTCGGTTCTTGAAGGCTGATCTTAGCAAGGGAAACCAGGGCATCTTCTAAGGTGTCGACTTCCCACGGCAGCCTGTACTGGTGCGTCCTGCTGATCAGGTTGCACTTCAAAGACATCAGCTAGCAGACAATGCTGCATCAGAAAAACGTGCTGCATTTATCGTCGTTGTCGATGACTTCCGCGGCTGAAAGACTCCTGATGCAACCTTTGCCTTAGCATTCACTCATCCAGAATCAACGACCCTGCTGTCCGAAGGTTTGCCTACACAGGTCTGAAATGCTTCGAGTTCCCACGATGCTCCTGCGATCACCAGGGACGGGCTGGTGAGACTGATGCGGCTGCTGCTGAAGCGGTTGGTGCGGGTGCCGCCTCGGCATCTCCATCTGGAGACCCTGCCCTGAAGCTTCCATGCTCGCCCACATCTGGAATCTCTGCAGGAACACTATGTTACAATCAAAGGTCAGATTCGAATGGTGCCTTACTTGCGGGGTTGCTTGTCCCGCTCTTGAAGGGATGCTGCCCCCAACACACGTGTGCACCCCGATGTTCAGCACCTGCTCTCGTGGAAGTACTGTGCACTGTCGACGGTACAATGCATGGCGACTCCCCGACCCATCACTCAACACATCACGCCCGAACTTCGCACACACTTTCGGACAGCAACCCCATTCGCTTGAGCTCCTGTCTGTCAACAAGCAGTCTCCAAGTGCTATGGAGTTGGGGCCCGCCGTGTCCTGCACAACACACCCTGGCAGAGCCGATTCGCCTATGAAGCCATTTTCCCAGGCCCCAAAGGGTTGATGCAGGTGTCAGCAAGCTTCAACGCCCAGTCATGGAACTTGTATACATCTCATATACACCTGCATGGGTACCTGTACATATGAACATGTACACACACACATGTTCGAAGTCTCCGTCGAGTCACTACGCCACTACGGCATCAAACTCCTTCATTAATTAGGACCACTTCTTGAACAGCCGAGCCACGACGCCGATCAGATGCATTGGGGAACTCTGTCGCTTCTTGGGCATAGGCCATAGCTGATAGCTCCGTGAATTGCTTAGTGATAGCTTCTTCTTCTTGCGGGCCCTAGCGATAAGTGCTTCTTCTTCCACTCACCCAGGCAGGAGCAACGCACGAGCAACGCGCACAGGCGTCTCGCGCGTACCCGTGGATCCACACAGGAAGCTTGCGGTCGAGGCCGTCGCCCGTAGTCGCTGGTAGGCGCTTCTTCGGGATGTGCCATTGCCTCCTTGCAGGACGAAATCTGCAGACGGTTGGGAAAGAGTCGGTTCTTGAAGGCTGATCTTAGCAAGGGAAACCAAGGCATCTTCTAAGGTGTCGACTTCCCACGGCAGCCTGTACTGGTGCGTCCTGCTGATCAGGTTGCACTTCAAAAAACATGGTTGGCTTCTCGATGCTTGTCGTTAGCAGACAATGCTGCATCAGAAAAACGTGCTGCATTTATCGTCGTTGTCGATGACTTCCGCGGCTGAAGGACTCCTGATGCAACCTTTGCCTTAGCATTCACTCATCCAGAATCAACGACCCTGCTGTCCGAAGGTTTGCCTACACAGGTCTGAAATGCTTCGAGTTCCCACGATGCTCCTGCGATCACCAGGGACGGGCTGGTGAGACTGATGCGGCTGCTGCTGAAGCGGTTGGTGCGGGTGCCGCCTCGGCGTTGCGCCCATGATAAGCAGAACGGACTGTGACAGTGCTGTCCAAATCGACGCATTGCGTCGCTACGCAGTGCCTCAGCTCACGGCCCAGGTGGAAAGCTAGAACTTGCAGCAGCTGCACCACCTTCCCCTTGCTGCCTTGGGGCGTCAAGCACCAACCCCTTCAGAGAGCTTGGCCACCCAAGACGCAGTCGCTGCAAAGCACAAGTACGATTTTTTTCAGCAGCCGGCATGAGCTGGGAAAGCAGTTGCTCCAGACGCAGCTGCTGCTCGTAATGCCAAGATGGAGTCGCCGATGCCTTGCTTGCAGTGGGTGCATTTGAAGCGTGCCTGCACGGGATCGCAACCAACAATCCCGCCTCTTGGGGCGGAGGCTGCATCATTGGGACGGTCTCGAAAGCACGCGGGCCCGTTGCCGGTGGCACCTCTCACTAAACAGCTCGCGACATACCCCGCCACCTTTGTGACACCTGAATTTACAAGCTGGCAGCCCACCGAAACGAGCAACCCAATGCAACACACGGTCTGCTCCGATGCCTGCGCTGGCCGCGCCGCCTGTGTTGAGCGCTCACCAGGCATCCGCTCGGCGGGCATCCGCTCGGCGGGCATCCGCTCGGCGGGCAAGCGTTCGGCCGGCATGCGTTCGGCCGGCATGCGCTCGGCCGGCATGCGCTCGGCCGGCATGCGCTCGGCTGGCGTGCGCTCGGCTGGGATCCGCTCGGCTGGCATCCGTTCGGCCAGCGTCCGTTCTGCCGCCGGCGTCCGTTCAGGCAACGACCGCTCAGCTTGCGCTGGCGTCACTGCCGGCACCTGGGTCCGCATTCACCGGTTTACATGCTACGGACTCGTTGAAAGGCTCCAAGTACTCGGGTTGGCAGATGATTGGCTGGAGTCGCAAGCCTTAATCTCCGTGAGCAGGGAGTGTCGAATCCTAATATCTGAAAGCAATGGCAAACAGTCAATCTGTGCGGACAAGCCTGCACCGTGGCAAGAAGAGAACAACTGACAAATGAAAACTGGAGAAAGCAACAGCAAACGGAAAAGAGTCACAGCCGAGCGCCATCGCGATCCATCCCAAAGAGCTACCAACAAGAGTGACTGTTCATGCATTCTTCGGAAGTCGTCCGAACGCGAAACTGCGAATTCAGATTGACACGTAGTCCCACTTTGGCGTCAAATGCATTGCTGTAGGCAAGACTCTCGCACAGCAGATCCTTCATGCAGATTTGAATTGGGGTTCTCAATAGTGCACTTGGTCGGGCTCTAGCCAGATTTGATACCAAAATCGGTAGTTTCTTTTCAATTTGATAGTCTCGATGGTATTCAGCACGGCCTTGGGTTGCTTGATACCAGAAGACTTTCCCGGGCTCAGGACATGCCGACTTGAGAGTATCGAAGTCTTAGTTGCCCCAGACCTAAGCTCCTGGCGGAGCCGCTCGATTCCGGCCTCGTGTCTGCTGATCACTGCATGCAGGGCTGATTTTCCTGTCTGCCTTTCGAACTTCTGGCAAATCTGTTGTCACAGCCCACGCCTCATGCCACGCGACTGCGTCTGTGAAGGAGGCCGCAGTGATCTTGGAAGCTTGATGCCCTGCAGCAAAGCCGGCTTGTCTCACAGAGTCTGACGTGCCATGCATATGCCATGCATGCAAGACTCCACGGCCTCAAACCAAGGCATCCGAAGCATCTCCCGAGCGCTGAGGCGCCGCCGGGGCTCCATCACCAGGATGCCCTCCGAGGGCAAAGAAGACGAAGCTTGTGTCTAAACGGGGTGAGTCATCCTTCAGGCCTTCAGCAGCTGCATCTGCAGCTTCGGCATCCGTCTCAAGTAACGCTTTTCCAGCGTCTCTGGGCGGCTCACGTCCGGGAACTGGCAGGCCGGGGCGATACGAGTGTGTCAGAAGGCAAATATTTTCGAGCACAGCTTCCCAGGTTTGCAGGCGTGCTAACCCAGAGGCGCTTCGAAAACCCTCTGGCCATCCTGCCTGAATGCCCAGGAAACGAGGATTTCTGAGGAACATCTCCATGTGTTCTGGGGTCAGTGGGCCCAGCACCTAAGCAGGGGCCCTAACACGTCGACACTGCACCCGCTTATTAAAGCATCTGATTCCTATATTCAGTTGCCAGTACATGGCTGTACTAACGCTACCGGCAGGCTGTAACCTCCAAACGCTATGGTAGATTCGTATAACTTGTGTTCTTACAGGCTTGCATGAATACTTGTCTACGCCTAGACTACGGGGCTGTAGACAGCACCAAAGCAGTGTCTAGTACGTTATGACTGCGACTTTAAACTATGCTGACTGTTCTATCAGTGGTATACTAGTTTACGACTGCCTGGTTGAGATGTTGTTGAATACTGGATCCTTGAGCATATGCTTGTTTTTCGGTGACAACACAGCAAAGCTGATACCGAAAGCATGTGTATACGACTTTCTTGTCATGTACTTGAGCTGTCCTTTCGTTCTTACGTTGTTGTTGCCACGTTATAGGCCGGCGATACTACTGCAAGTACTGTCCTACTAAGTGTGTCCGACCTTGTACATGTAAAAAGAAGCATAAGCTGCATAGTCGCTCTCTGCGCTCTTGGCTGCCAGCTTTCTGGATAACAAAGAGCTGATCGACCTGACAGATGCACATGGATGAATGACTGATGGATGTAGATATGTACAACAGATCATGGCATGACATTTCACTGTGTTACTCTGCATTCCGCTCTGCAGACTGGAAGATAAGCAGATGGATAGATAGATAGATAGATAGATAGAAAACGATAGACACATTAGGTAGATAGAGAATCTACCTAATGTGTCTATCTATCTATATCTATCTGATAGGGATAGGGAAGGACGAGCTGAGATAAGATTAGATTACAGAAGGTCAGACTAGGCTAGATAAGGTTAGACTAAGTCAGATTAGACAGAAGGATAGACATGTGTGTATCTATGCTATATATGTGCTTTAAGTAGCTCCGCCTCATGTGGATAACAAACAAACGAACAAACAACTTCTCGCAAACGGCACCCATGAACAATGTGTTGTGCCACGGCCAAAATACGGATGCACGTGTGTATGCAAACATTAACATGCAGGCATGCATGCATGCATGAGTGCATGCGTGCAGGTGTGCATGTACGCAAGTATGCATGCCATTCCGTGGGTCAGGCTGAACTTGCTAAGCGTCCAAGAATTGCCTCTGACTCACCGGCGAAAAGCGGTTGGCCATCAGTGAGTTCACCTTGGGTTTACCACATGAGACCTCTGCCTTCCCAACAGGATGTTGCTGGATTCTCAGGCAGCCGCCCATGATGCAGCCAACGGCCCAAATATCTACATCCTTCCAGGTTGGCCACTAGCAAGACGAGAGATGGGAAGACTTTGCTCTCACGGCCGTGAAGACGACACACAGCTGGCCATCAACCGTGCTGAGCTCAGGAAAATGAAAACTGGTGACAACAAGGAACGCACGATGATGCACTGATGCGGGTCCTTTCCATAATGTGTGAAACCTAGAAGGAGCTCTGGTGCACGGTACCACCGAGTTGCAACGTAATCCTGAGGTGATCTTTTGGGAAACAGGCATACAGGCACTGCGAATGTAAACTGCAAGCTGGCTTTGCAATCAGTACAGCCTACGACGGCACAGACCTGCGAGAAGCAAAAGGGCTAGCACTCTGAGCGGCTGGCTGTGAGTGGCGTATCCGCGCCTAGATCCGAGCTGGCACATGGAAGCCCCGCTCGTAAGTAATCACAAGAACACCACATTCAAAGAAGCGTGCAAGCTATCAGACAATGTCTGAGATGTGGGCTCATTGTCCGGGCGAACCCGAAGTCGCAAAGCCGCAGTGCATTATCCGCAGGGTTGACTGGGCAGGGCGGCAGTGAGAGGAGTCTGCAGAGCTTGGGTGAGACGATTCAACGTAGTTGAAGCCTTCGACTCTCAAGACATCCCAGGTCGCATGGTGCAGAGCTGTATTCTGATCCGGAGTCTGGACATTTCAACGCTGCTTCGGGGCAGAGAAGTTAGCAGAAGACCACCTCCTGGAGGTGGTTTGTAGGGATCGTAAATCGTGCACATGGATGGCAGATGATGGCAGTGACTGTAATGCAGGACCGGATGACCTGAACTTCTGCTGCAGCAAAGCTGCAGCGATGCAGAAGAAAGGATGTGAGGCCATGCAAGTTCATGCAAGGCCCGTGGCCCCGACAACTTTACCTTCATGTTAACTTTGTGATGCATCTGAGTCTGCGACTCAACAAGTTTTCTGGCTTGATGTCACGGTGAATGACCTCAACACCCAAATCAGTGCAGAACTCCGGTAAGCACTGAGGGCACCCTCATGCTGAGGACTCCCGCATCATGCCGATGACAGTACTCAATGGCACGAGCCTCAGCCAAGTCTTCACCCGGAACAGCCATGGTGAAGCAGTGAAGATGTGCGCATCCTGTGGCTCCCAACCAATTGACAAGTAAGGACCTTGGAATCGGCGAAAGCTTGCTTGGCATGGGGCACACAGCTACCAAAGTCAACTTTGCTTGAAGCAATGCAAGCTTGATTCTCCCGAGATGCACGAACAGTTTCTGTGTCCACGCCATTTGGATTAGCCTCTTGCACGAGGGCTCACGGATTCACAAGAAACTTGCAGCTGCATGAAGTACCCACTTCGTGCACATGGTGCCTGCAAGCAGACATCTCTAGGAGGATGATGCTTTCATAGACTTTCGATACCATCTTCCATGCTACTTCAGTGCGGCAGCCTACATCCTCAGAGAACCGTGCGTGTACGTGTGATCGAAGCTTGAATGCAAGCATCCATCTGTTCTGAGTCTTAGCACAAATATGATGGGCACACACGCAGAGAATGCGGAAGTATCTCATGGACGTACGAGTACCGTGGCACAGCACACTCCCCCCCACCCAAGCGCAGGTCTGTTTTCAGCACACCATGTTACCAGGCTCGTCGTTGCCCCTTCTTTCGTAACGGGTTGAACGCCCCCTGCGGAAGTCAATGCGTTCTACCAAAAAACTTTAGCTTAGAGCCCCACGCGCGCACACACACTCACACACACACACACACGATTTCGTGCTCCATGGACATCTTGTCAATCGGCAGCTGCTTATACTTCATGTAGAACATAATGTTAACCTACTTTTTATAAATCCCCCTCAATTACAAAACCCCACCCCCGGAACTCAATTATAAACCCCCCCTCAATTACAAAACCTTCCGGCCCAAATCCCCGAAATTAGATACTTCTTGTTGTGTGTTGTTGTGTGAGAGAGAGAAAAGGAGAGAAACTGCAGCTACTGCGAGAGCTTGAGGTCTGCAGAGAGAGACAAACTGCAGCTACTGCGATGGCTTGAGGTCTGCAGAGAGAGAGAGAGAAACTGCAGCTACTGCGAGAGCTTGAGGTCTGCAGAGAGAGAGAAACTGCAGCTACTAAGACTGCGTGAGGTCTGCAGAAAGAAAGAAACTGCAACTACTACGACTGCTTCAGGTCTGCAGAGAGAGAGAAACTGCAGCTACTCAGATTTAGAGGGCCTCAGAAACCATTCCCGGAGCCAAAAATCAATCCATCCTGATGGAGTACTAACAAAGGCCGTTCTTCGCAATTATAAACCCCCCTCAATTATAAACTCCCGCCGGGGAGGGCCTTTTGCTTCAGAAGCCAAGCCCTTCATTGGGAAAGCTTTAGCTTCCAAAGCCACCGGACTCCGAAACCGCAGATTTAGAGGGCCTCAGAAACCATGCCTTCCTTAATAAAGTTCCTTATTCCCGGGGCCAAAAATCAATCCATCCTGATGGAGTACTAACAAAGGCCGTTCTTCGCAATTATAAACACCCCCTCAATTATAAACTCCCGCCGGGGAGGGCCTTTTGGTGGTGCCTTTAAAGGCCTTGAAAAGGACAGCAAGCTTTACAGGCCAAGCCCTTCATTGGGAAAGCTCTGGATTCAAAAGAAAAGCAAGCTGTGGGAGCAGAGTCGTTGATTTGAATAACCTGCCTATAGCAGCCATGCCCTTGCTTGCGAAAGCTTCGGCTTTCAAAGGAGGAGGGAGAGGACCGCAGGATCATTGTTCATTGCTGGTACTTTACCAAACGTGCCCTGTCCGCCGGAAGAGCTGGACTCAGAGGCTGTGCTGCTACTGTACTATACTACTGTACTACGACGACCGACCCCCCCCTCAATAATCAATCCCCCCCACCCCGGGCGCCAAATCAATCAACCGGGGGGGGGGGGGGTTTATTAATAGGAGGTTGACATTAACCAGCATACCAGGCCTCTAAAATGTCGAGCATGCTTTTCTCCACGAATTCGAAGACGAGGTAGAGCTTCCCCCTGCGTCGAAAGGCCTGCCACATTCTGCTGCTACTTCGCAGCACCGAAGCTTCACAGCAAGCGAAGTAGATGAATCCACGCGATACAAGTTCCTTCCACTAGCAGCAGTAGCATGCAGTTTTGCACACACACACTCGCAAGCTTTCCAGCCCTGCTTGAGGTGATTCCTGCTTGTTCTCGAATCGGCCCGGGATGCTCGAAAGTCTCCCACTCCTCTTCCCTTGTGTGCTTCGCCTCCTTCAGCTGCACAATGTTTTCGTGCCGCATTATGCGAAGGATCTTCACCTGCAGAGCAAGATGAGCAGGGCAACAGCGGAAAAAGTCTCCGGCAACACCCTCCCCTCCGTCTTTGGGGCTTGCGAAATGTCTGAGGCAGTAGACAAATCAAATGTATTGAGCTGTCTCTGCTCTGTCTTGCATGCCTCTTGCAGAAACTGCACTATGAAGGAGTGATAAGAAGGAGAAACCTGTAGCTTTGCAAGTATTCTCGTAAACACTCTGAGACCCTCGAGACCATGGTACAATGGCCACACCACCATCTCCACTCGTCCCAACGTGATCCTATGACAAGAACCTGGAGCAAAATGGAAGGAACTGATTCCGTATCGCGCTGCCATACACGATGCTGCTTGACGGCACAAAAGCAAAGGCCTCTCTCAACGTGGTTTTTCGAACTACCTCGTCCTCTTCACTTTCCTTGAACCTGAGATCAAGCAGGGGGTGCTTCGACTCACACAGAAACCTGACCGGCCCTGCGTGAAGTCTGTGGCGCAGACTTCTTGATGGCCACCACTTCATTGGTGTCCTGTCCATGCTGGCACTTCTGATCAACAGGCAGGAGCAGCATTTGAAGGTGAGCGATTCGTCCTTAATCCTGTCTGCAATTCATGGTGCTTTTCGGACATCACTCTCAGTTTGCTTGCTACTGCTAACACTGCTAGGACACTACAAAGTTACAAAGCTTTCTGGCGCTGGCCGAAGTCCCAGTCACCGCCACATGCTCCCGCCAAAGCTGTCATGCCCAGTGAACCTCCCGGACCCTTGCCACACATGAAAGCACGTCAAAAGGAACCGTCCTTGTTCTTGCATTTCAACACCACGCCGTAGGCCCCTTCGCCCACGACGCCCAAGACATCGTACTTGTTCATGGAACCTGCCCTGGGCACAAATTGTGCAGACGAGGGACATCCTGGATGGGTGTACGGATGGGAGCAACACTTGTTGGCCGACGGTGCATCTGACTTCGTCCCCTTCTCCGTGGCCGGAAGCTGGCACCTAACCCCCAGCTGAGTGTTCCACACAGACCGGGCAACTCACGACAAGCCCAGACCACTCTCTTCTCCGCCTCCGCTTCTCTCCTCGGAAACTTCGGTGCAATGGCAGTCTCTGTCTCTACTCTCTGAAGGCTCAGCGGCTTAGCGTACCGAGGTGCAGCCAAAACTCCTCCCTAGAGGGTCAGAGAGAGCTGTGCACAGCTCATGAAACCCACTTCCCCCAAGGTTCCATGTTTCCCTCCTACGCTTCCGAGCCAAATGGCCCAAGCACACAACTCCATGCCGTGCAGGAGCCTCTCGGCATGGCAACCTAAACGGCTAAATACGCATCAAGACCCATCGTCTGACCGGCAAGTGCACAATGTTGAACTTGCGGTGAGTGAAACATGTCAGACTACCAGTGTAGCTGAAAAAGCTGCTGCGTACCAGAAAACCGTGCAAAGAGGCTCGCAAACAAGGACTTTCCTCTTGGAATTGGCTTGCCTCTCTACACGGGCGCACGGTGACGTTTGTCACTCCTGGTGCGGCGCAATGCTTCAGCTTGCGTCTCGCTCCAACCAAATTCCCCTTCCCGTGCAGAGGCAGACTTACTAGCGCCGATTTAAACGGCTCTGGGGCCTGGATCAACCCTGCATCAGAGCACTCAGAGGCCACAGCGTTCCAAACGTTCCAGCCGTGCCAAGTTGACCTTTGCGTCGCAAGGAAGTATGACACTCCGACAGCGAAGCGGACTCCGATGAGCGCAAGTGCCTCGCATTGCCAAGTAATGACAGCAGATTGAATTGTCTCCAAGACACTTGTAGCAGTTTGGTTGCATCTCGCATGTCTTTACTTCGGCCTGGTGAACATGCATTTGCCCTCACAGCTAAGGCATCCCTGCATGCCAGGACTTGCACGGGCTCAACGTATGCCCAGAACATTTAAGAGTATGATACAGTTTGTCGGCTGCCATGCAAACGAGGCACCTGAGGCTTTGCCACCGTGCCGATCGCGCGTGCCTCAAGGTTGCTGCGAAGGCATCATGGAAACATTGAGGGATTCTGAGCTCTGCACTTGCCGGAGCTTGCACTGCAGCCGCCGGAGCCGAAGGCCAAAAGTCCTCTGTCACGAAGAGGATCCATAAATCAACCCCAAAGCCCCGGTTTCACATGCCATGTGCCTTCCCAGAGAGGAGATCCACATCACCTCCAAGGTGCACAAGTGGCGAAGCTCCGAGCATACCCGGCTCTCCAACACTTCCACAGAAACCGATAACCGGACCTTACGGTTGTTGACACACCGAGCCTGTGCTTAAAGTAGGTTTGGGTCTGGCCTTTCAGTGGCACAGCTCCGACATCCCATGTCGGTTCCGAGTCGAGGAGCGAGGCCTCCTTAGAATCTTACCAGGAATAGGAAGGGGATATGACCATGGCACGAGCGTAGCTCTGACATGGTTCCACCTTTGCGTGTCGAGTCTCCGATACTATCAAGGGCGTAAAAGCCGGCGGGCCGGATTGACCCTTGTGCCTCGGGCTACAAAGCTCGACACGGCTCCGACAGAAGTGGGGGTCCTTCCGAACTGGGCGCCAAGGTGCTGTGTGGCAGCCGCGGATCCTCAGTGGCAGCGACGGCTCGGGCGCAGCGATGCGCAGCGCTTAGCGGCTCAGCGGTCCGGCGGCCGCCCCCGCGCCATCCCACGCTCCCGCGCCCCCGCGCCTGACTCCGAGGCGGGGCCCAGGATGCCGCGGTAGAGATGACCTTGGAGCGGCACGGTCCCAGAGACCGCCCTCTGTTTCGGGGCTTTGGTGGCCAAGGCACGGAGCCGCTCATCCTCGGCGGCCTCCTTTCCTCAGCTGCCGGGTTCAAAACCATGCTCCAGGAAAAGGGGAGCTTGCGCTGTCTCTCTGCAGGATCTTCATGTACCGTTCGTTCAGAAGACATGTGAGAGCATCAGACCATCCTTCGACGACAGAGCTTGTCTAGTGGATTTGCTTTGCATACACGGGCCTCCCTCGACCTCAACAAAGCGCGAAAACGGCCCCAGGTTTGCCTATTCTGTCGAATGCAGACAGCACATACGCGGCCTCTCTCAACCTGCAGCTCTGCGGCTGCGCATCTCCTCACGGATGGCCGCGAGCTCCTGACCTGAAAAGCCGAGTTTCACCAACACATCGAGTGACCGTGGAGATTCAGGAGTGGGTAGGCGGATGGTGTGGGAGGGTGGGTAAGTAGGTGAGTGGATGGATGGGCTGGCTGGCAAGCCGTGCTGGAGAGACAGTTGGATACGCAGAGAGAAACATATACAATCATTGACATAGGAAAAGATGCAAAATAGATGCTGCCTCACTCTCTGCTTCATCCAGCTGCTTCTTGCATGAGTAGAATGCGGCGGCTACTCGGCTGCCGAAAGGTGCAGGAGGTGCTAAATGCCACTGCTACAGGCTAATTTTACGGCTCAGGTTTTAGGTTTGGGGGTTTAGGGTTTATAGGGCTTAGGATTGTCTATCGAAATCTTTTTATTTTACCTGCTACTAGTACCTTTTAAGAAGCTCTGTAAACAGTAGACGCTAAGTCCGCTTGTCAGCGGCAGACGGTTCACGGAAAGGACCTCCACGGCTAGTCCACACAATCTCAATCGTTCCTTTCCGCTTCTCTTCCGAGCTTTTCGTCGGAGTTGAAAAGAAAACCTGTCTATGCATGTCTCTGCGTGTCTCCGCGTCCGCTTCGTTCCGACTTTTGGCCAGAGGCGTACGATGCGAACGTCCACAGAACGCTACTGTGACGCTTCGAGGCATCCGAAATGTGCTAGTCACTAGTCGCTTTCATAAAACATCAGCAGATGCTGGAGAGCTTCACGTGGCCTTCAAGTCCTCTACCATCGCTCACTCAGTTCCCTTTGTCAAAGAACGTGCCACCCAAAATAGCTGAGCTTGAGGCCGACCTTCTCTGAGATCAACCGCCGCTCCTCCCAAAGAAAGCCATGTGAACGCAGAGCGCATGCAATCGCTACAACAAACAGAAGATTCGTCTTGAATTTCAGAGAGATGGTTGCTCTTTCAGTCTCTTTCTTGCTCCTGCTCCTCCTTCGCGTCACGGGCCAGGCTGTCCAGCCTGGGCGGGTCGCGAGGCTTCGCTCTTCCCCCGATGCTTTCTTTTCACTTTTCACGTCACGCAACGTCGCTACGTATAGTACGGGAGCCGCGAACGAAGACACGGCGGTGGACTTGATCGGCTCAGCCTGATGCTGGCTTTGGCAGCGCGCCTGCCGCAGCTGGGCCTCCCGTCGCAGCGCCTCCGACAAGCGCGAAACTACGCAGCGGCTACGGCGGTACCTGTCCCCAGCCTCCAAAGAATGCTCTGCTTCTGAAGCTTCCTCCAGCCAGCGTGCACCGGTAGAGGAAGTACAAGCAGCCCCGAGTCCCAAGATGGCGGTCTCCTCTCGGCTTCGCTGCCAGAAGCTGGTGTTGCTGTGCAAGACCTGAAACGGAAGCCGCTGACATCAGCTGTGGCAGTGGCTCTGGCGTAGCGTGGCTCAGCGCAGCTCCGAAAGTCCCACCCTCTTCAGGAGCGAAACCTCCTGGCCTGCGGCAACGACCGGCTTTGTGAAACCTACTGCTGATGGCGGACCGCGACAGCGAAATCAAACGCAGTGGAGGCCTTCCGAAGTCAAGTCATCACCTTTCGCGTCGCTCGCCGGCTCAAGCATTCCGCACAAAGTGCAAGTGCTCGAGCCGGAAAAAACAAGATCGGAATGCTTCTCATTTCATGACGGCCTGTGTGCTCTGGTGTTTCGGCAGGATGCTAACTCAGTCGCTCAGTTTCGGCAGGCTTTCTCTCCGATGAACGGTCCGAAGACAGGCGCACAGTGCACTTCACCAGGGCCAAGGCAGCCGCCAACCTGAGCTTTCTGTCGAAGCTGTGCGGGACAGGTCATCGATCGATGCATCGCTGCTTGCTTCCGCTGCTAGGATGCTGGCAAGAGCACTTGACCTCAAAGACCCAAGCTGCTACAGAACACAGGAACGAAAGGCACGTTAATTCTAGTCCGGGCCGAGGCACTAAGGGAGCTGAGCTTCCTTGCACTTGCGGTGCTGCCCACCTGAGTCTGCCTTACTGCCTCACACTCTTGCTTTTGATATGATGAGCCAGGATTGGTGGAAACAATGATCTGTGCTTCCCAACATTCACGTCCGCCACCGCCGTCGACATTGCCGAGCCTGAGGATGTTAGCTTTCAGCACCTGATGTCCAAAACTGCCGTCCTTTAGCTGCTGCAGCATTGCACCACATCCAAACCTGGGACGACGGAAATCCAAAACTGCCCCGTCCTTCGGAGCTGTACAGGGGCTGACCTCGGCGTTCGTGGCATCTTCAAGCCTTTGCTCTTCCCTAGCCTTAGCCAAGGTCCGCTCTTTCCAAGGGGCTGCCGCTCTCATGGTGCAGAGAGCCATCGGCGGCAATAACGACAAACCTGTGGGGGAGGGGGGACGGCAACGAGCACAGCAGCACTTCCTTTGAACCACTGCGAGCAAAGCCTGGCTTCACTTTGGCCAGATTCTATGCCAGATGCGCATCCGGCATTCCATCCTGCCAGTGACCGGGACATTCGCGAAGTGAATGGCACAGACAACTTCCAACAAGCGACCGGCCTGTCAGCAAGCATCCCGCAGTCCATGCATGCGTGAAACACACCATCGAGCAGGCGCCCAGCCCCACCCTCCTTCTTGCCTCGTATCTGCTCACAAGACTACACTCTCCATCCGTCGAATGAAAGGCTTTAGAAACATCGCCCTCTGCTCCATGTCTCCATCGCATGATGAACCCAATGAGAAGGCCCCAAAATAGGGGGCTTTCAGTCAAGACGTCAGGTCTACTGCTTTGAGTCTTGTTGTCCTGTAGCGGTTCTGCGAATTGGTCGTCCAGATTGTGTCGTTGAACGCTCACATGCAACAAGAATGAATCAGGAGGGAATCCGCTGCGACTGCTCGAGGGTTGACTTAGGTTGCCTCCTTACTGATTTTTGCTCCGAGTTGCAATCGAAGGGACCCGGTCAGTGCAAAGCATGGAAGTGGCGAAAGATCTATGCAGCCCAAGCGAGCTTCGTACATGAGGTGAGATAGGAGTACGTAACCTTACTCACCATTGCCATGCGCACGCTTTTGTACATAGACTTGAAAGTCTTCAAGTCTCTTCGTTTGCTCACGGCAATCCATACGATTGGCCGTGTCGAAGCGATGGAAAGATCCTTTCAGGATCTATGGCTGCCTTCAAGCTTCTCAAAGCAGCCACGCAGCCTCCTGGTGGACTGCCTCTCTGACCAGGTACTTCATCGCCCTCGCGTGCAACCTGCAGTGGTCCGGTTGGCTGTGCTGTCTTCGGGGATAGTCGTTGAGGCCGCATGCCGCATGCCCCTCTCCGAGCTGCTCTGACCAAGGCACCGCAGCTTCCACCGAATGTCTCCAGCAGCTGAAGGCGCGAAGTGCAGTGCTGGGGTCAAGGCCTTGCCAAAAACATCAAGATTCGCATTGTAGTAGCCTCTGACGTAATACGCTATAGCAAGGCCATTTCACCGGAAGGCCCGCCTGCCACACAAGTGGCTAGATGAACAGTGAGGACTGCCCTTTCGGGAAGCAGCTGCCCCAGGCCTCGGCCAACCCGGGTTCTTGAAGTTTCCCAGGCTACCAGCTTGACACGGCTAGTTACCGGTAAGTCAACCTTTGTGACCTTTTTCCACGGGGGACTTGGGCCAAGTGCAATCGCGTACAGACATAGCTAAGGACCATAGGAATAGCAATGGAGGCAGGGTAAAATCTACACCCCCCTCGCCGTGCTGCTCCAGCTAAGGCGGATAGTACATGGCTCCAGGTTGCCATGGGCTTCAACGATTTTGAAGACTTGCCAAAGCGAGCATTTATAAAGCACAACGGGGAAGCCCTGCAGGCCCGAAGCAAATCAAAATGAGGACTCAGCGCCTATGGGTGCGGTTCCATGCATCCCACTCGGCCTGAGTGTAACCTCCACGACGCTGGCGATAGTACTCGTCCCACTGGGCCTGAGTATAGCCTCTGTACATTGGCTCAGGTGCTGTCGTGCGACCGCGTCCCTTTTGGGATGGGCGATTCTGGACTGCAGCCTGGCGATTGCGCTCTGCCAAACGTTCCGTTTGGTCCGTCTGGTTCTGAGCACTACGGAGGCTATCGGTAAGGATTTGCCCGATCTCAGTTGTGATGCCTTCAGTTGTGGTAGCCGACACATAGACCTCGCCGTCGAAAGTCAGGATCCTTTTCGCAGCATCATTCACTGCTGCCACCTCAGCATAGAGTCGCGGAGGGAGGAATGCTCCGAGGTAGGTCAAGCCGATGGGGACATCCGCGGTATCATCGATAAACCGCAAGTTCCTCAACGGCTCCACTTCGCAGTGGGCATAATAGACCAACTTCGCAGGCGGGACATTGCCACCACCATAATGGGAGCCGGCACGCAAGTAGCGCTGCTCCTCGCTGCGTCCTGGATCGGGAAGCACAGCGTTCGACAGGTGATCGAATTTCTGCATGTCCTCGAAGTTGCGGCCCTCTTGCATCATCCTCACGTTGAACTGCGCGTCCTTCTCGAAGCGGTCGGACACGGTGTCGAAGTTCAACTTGGCGGCCCTGATCTTTCGGTCTTTGGCGTCACGAATGGCGGCACCCTCTGCGCTCATCTGACCACGCTTCTTTGGTCCCTCGCCCAGGCCTCTGAGGTCACTCGCAAGGAGATCGTCGATGGGCTTCTGAGCTCCGGTTGCAGCGGTGGCAAGAATGCGCTGGCGAAGTCTCGAATTCTCAAAGACTCGCTTCGTGATCTTTTTAGAGTCGTCCGTCTGGGGAGCCTTGCAACGGAGGCAGAACAGCATGCCATTGGCAACGACTGCTGCGCACTCACGGCATGGGTGTGAGCCAAGTGGGTATGGCTCATCCTCACCCGCATCCGTTGTATCGCCTTCGTCGACTTCAACCTCGACCTCAACCTTGGTTTCGTCAAGGTCGAATGCACCAGCATCATCAGCAGGCTCACCCTCGCGGGTGGCTTCATCCAAGTCCATGCTTTCGTCTTTTTCGACGATTGCGGCGGGCTTGGGAGCCACCTTCGGCATCTTCTTTGAAGCAATCGCTTTGGGAGCGATAGCCGCCTGCTTTGGAGGCGGTGCCGATGATGAGCTTGCCGTTGCGGCCTCCTCGTAGTCGCGCTTGGCGCGGAAAATGCGCTCTGGCTCACCCTCGCGGGCGGCTTCTTTGTGCTCGGCGACATAGAGCGGGAGGTTCTTCTTGCTGGTGTCGACGGCGGACAGCACACAATCGGGCGGCACATTGTCACGTGTGAGGACGCCGTCGGTCTCCGTGACGAAGAAGACACATCCAGCGGCGATTGCTCGCTGCGTATCTATCGTCAGCTCGATCGGCTGGTTGGAGCGCATTCCACTCTTGTAGTGGGTGTCGTCCAACTTGTACGGGGACAGGTAGTTGTGGGACCTGTCTGACCTTGCGGAACCGGCGATCATGCCATCGCGGAGGATCCCCTTCATCCCCTTTTCATTCGTGCGGTGGAAGAGTTTCGGGGGGGTATCCTCACGGGAGAGTACGGTGACCCCCCTGACGCTGCTCTGCAGGTCGGCCTCGTACTCGGACAATCCGCTGTAGAACCTGGTCGCGAGGAAGAAGTCCGCGTCCGGGTTATTGCCGATGAGCTTGGAGTTGTGCCCTTGGGCCATCCTCACCCGCACAGGGAATAGCGGCTGGCCCAGGGTGTCCTTCATGGGGACATCAATGCCCAAAAGCCTGATCCGTCCCTTGTTATCGGCTTTCGCTGCGCGTAGCAGCTGCCTCACACCCCAGCGTGCGTTCCGTGCCGTGTTGAAGACCTGGAGCAGAGTGTCAACGTCTGCCCAGCACCCACGGTCAAAGATCAATGCAGGGAAGTCGTCCATCTCATGGCCACGCAGCAGCTTGGTGAGGAACTTCAGGTCACCGTGTTTGAACGTCACGTGCCTGTCTCCCACAATGTCCTCCGGATTGAAGGGCTTCATCAAGTGCTTCTTACCGTTGTAGAAGTACTCATTGGGAAGCTCTGGCACAGTGGCAGCCCCTTGCGGGGCGCTTTCATCGATGAACATGAGCCTTCGCATGGCATCCTCATCGCGGTCAGACTTCTTAGTCTTCTTGGGAGGCGCTGGCTCAATGACACGTCCAATCGATGATGGGACGGGGTCGACTTGGTCGCCCTCATCCACCAGCTCCACCGTGCCCGGGGTATTGTAGGATACCTTACCGTCTGCGTCCTGAGTGACAATGTCATTGACGCACTCCGCAACAGCACTAACATCAGTGGTTGCACCGATCCTTGGCACATCCTTGCGGACGGCTTTATCCATGGGTGGCCCCTCGGAGATCTTGGTGACGTCGGTTGCGTCAGCGGCATCTGGGGCTTCCCACATCTTGTCCTCCTGCGTGACCGGCATTGGCTTTGCCTGTTTCGGGTTCATGAGCTGGTCCTTCTCCGCACGCCACTGCTTGAAGACATCCTCGAGCACCGGATTATTGGCACCGGAGCCAGTCTCAAAGTGCTCATAGCGAACAAGCAAAGCCCTGACACAGGGTGTCATCTTCTGGGCAAGCCATTCGCTCCTGCTTGCATTGATAGTGGCATGCAAGTAGGTCTGGAATAACTCGCGGTTGCGAGGGTCTTCACTGGCGTGAAAGCTGTCATACATTTCCAGCTTTTCGACCAAGGAGCTCGCGGTTTGCACTTGCAGACCGCGCTGTCTGAACTCTTCGAACATTGCGGCATTGAAGTCGTTGTAGGCTGAGTGGAGTTGGAACAAGTCCGCCTCCACCTGCCCAATCACCTTCACAAAACCAATGTCCGGCTCGCCCGCGAGGGCGGCTAAAACATCCGCTGCCCTTCTCACTTTCCGGGCGACGGTCTCCGTTGTGACATTGGGATCTCTATAGGCGAGTCCCGGTCCTAGCCGCGTGGGGATGCAGCCCCACTGGCCGGAGATCTCGTTCCCGCACCACCAGCAGATCACGTCGATGGTGTGGTCCGGATAGTTGGTCCGAAGCTCTTTCACATGCTCCTCGACCTGCCAGACAATCCACGCCAAGGTTTTGCCCCAACACATGGTGTAGCGAGTCTGTGCCCATCCCAGCGTCATGCTTGCGATGTTCACTTCCGCATCCAAGTCGGCCTTGACGAACACTCCCCGTCTGTTCTTCTTGCAAAGTGCGGTGGAGCTGTCTGACACGACTATGATGGCTCGCTTGGCCTTGGGGCTCAACCTTGCGGTTGGCTTCAACTTGGCGAGTCCCTCGTCACTGAGGTCAGCCATCTGGCGCAGAGCCACACAGGTTGCGTCGGCATGGGTCAAGGATACCCCAGCCGCGCATTGTGTGGATACGCAGCTGTACGCCGACTCCAAGAGCTGGCTCTCATGATCGGCGCCTAGCGAAATGATATCGTTGTTGAGGGCGGCGGATTGGAGAATGGTTTTCATGGCCTTGGTAACTCCAGCCCTGTCTGCTTCGGAGGTGTTAACCCTGCAGAACTCGTCGCTCACAACGATGGCTGCCATCCTGGGGATCGTAGAAGTCGCTTCGGGCAAGTCGGGAAGATCAGAACCAGCTGAAATTGCAATGGCAGGCGTGCACATAAAGGAAGCCAAGATTTCATGGTCAAGGCTTGCAGTTTGTTGTGTGTTTGTGCACTCGAGCGATGTGTGTGCAAACGAATCATTTTCGAAACGAGAACACGGTTTGTTAGGCCTACCCCCCTCATCGAGAGGGGAACCAACACACCTCAAACAAACCATTGCCTTCTGAGCTGGGAGCTTCAACTGAGCCGTAGGCAAGAGGAACTGTGATTGATGTAGGAATTGCTTTTGCTTTTTGTTGAACTTCTGGTACCCCCCTGAAGAGTAGGCGATGAAGGAATGTCGTTCGCCAGTGTAGGGTTGTACACCATGTTTTGTTGAAGGATGCAACAGAGTAGGCTTGCGGTATGTATTGCAATTGTAGCCTTTGTGGTCTTTGCCATGATCATCTGTGTATATTCCCGGTGGTCCCAACTGGCTCGCGCCCTCAATCCACAGTGTCCCCCCTGTATAGTTACCGAAGGAGAACGTCAGGTTGTACGATTCTTTCTGATTGTACTTATCCGTGTGGATGCGGGCCTTGCCATTGAAGTTGAACACGAACGAAGTCCATGTAAACCCTTTCGGAGATGATCGCTTTACAAATTCATTCACATACCTGCAAATCCATGGGTAATGTTTTGTGCGGTTGGTGATACCAAAGCACCCACCATGGACCCAAGCGCCGAATACCAAGTATTTGGATATCTTCTCAGAAGCCATAAACGATCGCGGTTTTGCCAATGATGCCTTGAGATTGGTACGAATAAGCCCAGCTAGCTTCTCGAAGGTCTTGAAGCTGTAATCGTTAGCCTCGAACGATTGTTTAGCAAAGTCCTCGACAACCTTTGATGCATCCGGAGCTGCTGCTACCGAAACCTTGTTGTCGACCTCGACCTTCGACTCGGGTTTGCACCCGGCTATGTTCGCGCTGGTTGTATGTCCAATAAGCTTCAAGGCATGCGTCCACTTGTTCTTTTC